TTTCTAGTGTAGGGTATACTGGCTTGCAGACAGCTATCTTCTTGTACTCAGGAGAGAGACTAAATCTGGGATTTCTTTTTATGAAGATATAATCTCATCATGAAGGCTCCATTCTCAATTAAACCTAATTATCTCCCAAAGGCCCCCATCTCTAAATATTAACAATGGGGTTTAGGGTTTAATATATGATTTTGGGGGACATAATTCACTCCATACACTCCCCTCCTGTCCTTCTTTCAGGCAAAATATATTCATTCCACCTCAACAGCCCAAGTCTTAGCTCATCCCAGCACCAACTCAAAAGCCTAAACCCTGAAGCCTTATCTAAACATCATCTAAATCAGATAGATGTGAGTGAGACTCAGTGTACAATTCATCCTGTGGTAAAATTTCTCTCCAGCTGTGAACCATGAAACCATAAAAGTAGGTGGTGGGAAAGGTACAGTATAACCATCCCCATTCTAGAAGGGAAAAATCAGAGGGAAGAAAGCAGTGATGGATATCAAGCAAACCCAAAATTTAGCAAGGCAAATTCTCTATCTTAAGGCTCAAGAATAATCCTGAGGCTGGGCACCGGTGGTTTATATCTAGAATCCTACCTACTAGGGAAGCTGAGATCTGGAGGACCATAGTTTGAGGCCAGCTCAGGCAAATACTTCATGACATCCCATCTCTGAAAATAGCTACAGCAAAATGGACTGGAGGTATGGCTCAAGTGGTAGTGAGCGTGCTTTGCAAGTGTGAAGCCCTGGGATAAAACTCCAGTCCCTCTGGGCCTCTCATAGTGTCCCATGCCAGAGCAAGCTGTGGCTCTGAACCACTGCCTGGCCCCCTCTACCTGTAGGCTGCTGGCACTGAAGTGGGTTACACAGTGGGGGAAAAAAACCCCAAAAAACCCAGTCCTACCAAAATAACCACCACCACCACCATCATCACCCTTGGGCTTGCTGCTCCACCTTCCAGGCCATGGCTCTACAACGTGGTCCTAACCGCTCTAGCTCTGCAGGACACTGCCTTTGTGGTGTAAAACAGGTTTCTGGGACTCTGTTACACTGCTGTTCCACCTCTAAGGCCCTGGGCAAAAGCCATATGGCCTGTTGAAACCAGAGTGGGAGAGTTCATGATCTGAACCACCTTCAGGTTCATTTTTCTCTTTTCTTGAAAAATAACACACGTTTGTAGCCAAATAGCTCTATTGTCCTGTCCTGTCAAATCCAAAACATCAGTCTTCCTTCGTTTCATCCCTGTCTCCATCCTGTTCAGTTCAAACAGGCAGTATTTCTGCTCATGTAACCCTATAAACTCTTCACCATGTGTTTTCTTCAGAACAAGCTTTCTCATTTTTCAAAATATGGCTGAGATCTGGCCAAATCTTCAAGTCCTGGTTCCTTTTGCTTACAAACTCCTTCTTCATCATTCTTTCTATATTTTACCACAAGGAGTCAGAATGGAATAAGCTGCCCCTTCAACACTTCTCTTAGAAATCTCAGGGAGACAATTTTCTCACTCACCAGCTTCTACCTTCCACCCTACCAGGTTCTTGGTCACTTTAGAAAGATCGTCTCTTCTCCACTGTTCAATAACATGCTCCCCATTTCCAGCTGAAACCTGGTCAGAATGGACTTTATTTCTGTATTTCTACCATGCACCTCCAGACTTTTTCAGTGCCCACCCATTATCCAGCTGAGTCGCTTCCGTATGTTTAGGCATTTGTTACAGTAGCACCCCACTCACCACACTGAAGGCTGTCTTAGCTCAGGCTGCCATAGCACCATACCATAGAATGGTTAAACAACAGAAATTACATTTTTTCAGTCTTGGAGGCCAAAAGGCCAAGTTCAAGGTGCTAGAAGGCTTAGTTTCCAGGGAGGGCTCTCTTCCTGGCTTGCAGAAAGCCACCTTCTCTTTGTGTCCTCACATGGCAAGGAGAAAGACAAGCTATCTGGATTCTTTTCATAAAGACACTAATCCTATCATAAGAGTCCCATCCTCAAGCCTTCACCTAAACCTAATTATCTCCCAAAGGCTCAATCTCCAGATATCATCATGCTGGGGGTCAAGAATTTGCCGTGTAATGAATTTGGGTGGGGGCACAATTCATTACAATGCCCCTTGGCCTAGCATATATCTGATGGCCTGGGCACCAGCACGTACTTGCTTTCCCCCAGAGCTTGAGAAAAGAGGGCAGAGAGACAGAACTGATGAAGATGCTTTGAGTTGATGTAGTGTACAAAAAAAGTGCACATTTTCAGCAAGAGATTTTTCTTCTGGGTATCCTGATTATCACCTCATTTTCATAAATCTGAGATGCAGCTTTATAATGCTTCAAATTCTTTGAAGTAAAGAAAAACTGAACAGAACATTTATAAAAACATTAAGATTTTCAAGCAATTTTAGGAAACAGACACAGACTAAACCTCACTCATTCTCTTTGAAACTGAACCTCATGACTATGTCCACACTGTGAAATAAATATCGAACAGTTGGGATAGGGCTGGCCAGGGAATAAAAGTCATGAAATGGAATTATGACAAGGCTGAGACAGAGTTGACCACTTCTTTATTTCTAGACCCAAATGCTTAATGGATTTAAAAGACATTAGAACAGCCAGCTGTGCTGTAGCTGGAGTTCAAAATACACAGTGAGATCACTTTGATGTGAAGACGACAAGGTGAGGGAGGACAGGCTAAATCATCTTTGAGGGACTTTGCAAGGCTACATCTCTGCCTCTCTACAAGGATGTGGCAGCAGTTCTTGAAAATTACGTGTTACGTCTAGATGAAGACGCTGGTCCTGTTATCACATGACTAAGGGAACCAGCGCCAGCTTCATGAGCCTGGAAGGGAGAAAGGAGATGACTGAGCTGTCCTCATTAATTCAGACAAACCCAGAGAGGCTACCTGAAGCTGTGCGCTTGGAGAAGGGGAACACATGGGGCTTCAGGGAGACACTGGTAAGACTTCAGATAGTGCTGAAGACCAGGCATTCAGGAAGCAGGAGAAAGGAGAGAGTACTCCAGTTGAGGAAAAGGAAACCAGACTTATCCAAGTTCCTTAATAAATGAAGGGAATTTAAAGGAAGGGTCAAGAAGAAAATCTATCCACAGAGAGATAGCAAGAAACAGAAAACCAAGAATAGTAGTTGGTACTGAAAAAGACCTTTACATTTTAGATACCGAGTCAGTTTATTCAGTCATCAGCATGTTTAAATGCAGAGTAAAAGAATGTAACTTAATCCCTATTCCAGGGCCCCAAGAGTACAGAGCCTGAGATTAGTACAGTGAAATACAATCAAATATGCAAGTGCACTATAAAAAGCCTAAATACAGAATTGGAGAGAGACAAGCTGGCTACAAATTGGAACGGGATGACCTGTAGATTTGTGAAGCCCATGAAATCATGAGTATTCTGCTTCTATTTTTCTGGTGAGAGGACCAGAGTGTTTAATAAGAGTTTCAGTGTGAGGACTTGATATATTACTGGGCTAAATACTATGCTGAGAAAGAATTAGTGGGAATGTAACACACATATTCCTATAATCAGCTGAACAGTTTCAAATGAAAATGAGTGCAAAAATACTTCGGTACTTTTTCTATGTAGGTTATAGGTTTATGTACATTTAGATACTCTCTGAATTATTCTTTTGGACCCAAGTATTGTTTATTACAGAGAAACAGCTCAAAGACTCAACTTTGTTATTCTCTTCATAGGGAACTTCCTCACCCTCACAGCAACTTTTAAATGCATTCTCTCATTTGTGATCCTGATGCTGCCTGGTTAAGTTGTGAGTACAACAAAAGTACTCAACACTTTTTGGCTTAGATTTTTTTTTTTAATTACTAGCACAGATTAATTGTATAGAGGCGGTTCACTGTGATATTTACAACATGTATGTAATGTACTTTGATCAAATTCACCCAATCTACATTACTCTTTCTTAACCACCCTCCTGCCAGCTTAGTAATTTAATAACTTTTGCAGACACAGTCACACGGAAGATACTAATACTAATCCTTTAAACTGGAGAGTAAACAGAGCATACTCTTTCAGAAAAGTTACACATTCTCATGGAAAGAACTGCACCAATTCTGTGTAAATAACACTCTTAACAGTTCCCAGCCTGAAACGCCCTAAGTGAAAGTCAATAGAAACAAAAACTGAAACGCTGATCAGCACAAATCACCTGATGCCAAATTTTAAAACATCACTACTTTTCCGTAACTGCGAAAACAAATGTGTGAGCACATATTGGTTATGTCTTCTTCACCAACCCTCGATCCTTTTAAACTAGACAGAAAACTGAAAAAACACTAAAGGTATTACACTATGGTGTTTCCTTTTAAAAGTTCTTTTATATTATTACTATAGCAAAACAAAAACCACAAAATGAAACAAAGCCTCACTCATGGAACTGCATGAGCCCCAAGGCAAGGCAGAAACTACAGAGGTGGAAGGAAAAACTAAAGATAGATACATATATCTATATATAGAGAATCTATACATAGATTGTATATCTATATATAGACTAATACGTCTATATACAGATAAAGCTGTATCTAGATAGGAATATATGTCTGTCTATATATTGAATGAATGGACACCTGGTGTATTAGTGCAATTAAACTAAAGCCCGGTCCCTGACCGGCTAAACGCTGTGGACTGGGATATTTTCTCTTTCCAAGGAAAAGAGGTTAAGCAGTGTTAAGAAGGGCAGACAGCAAAACTCAGAGGTCAGGTTTACAAGTGCCAGCCCCAAGGTCAAGGCAGTGGGGGACTCCATAGCTACAGAGGGGATGGGAACAGGTAAGGGGGGGACCGCAGACCTCCCGGGATGGGGTGGGGTGGCGGTGCAGGAGGAAGCGGGGAGCTGGCGAGACAAGGTAACGGGGAAGAGGCGGGACGGCGAGGGGCCCGGCCGCGCGGCGCGCGGGGAGGGGAAGGGAGGGCAGGGCGCCCCCGCCCGCCGCCCCGCCCCGAGGCCACGCCGCGCGCCCCCCTTACCAACGGCAGCAGGAAGCCGCAGAACAGCGCTGCCGCGGCCGGGGACAGCCGCTGCGGCCCCATTCAGCTGGCGGTTGCGGCTGGCGGCGGAGCTCGGCTCGGGTCCCTCGGCGGCGCTGCCTCGGTGGCGGCGGCCGGCACGGCTGGGACCGCCGCAGCAGCGCCGACTTCCTCTTCCGGCCCCGCCCGGGCGACGCGGAAACCCCCGCGTGGGGCGCGGAGAGCCCCGGCGGCGCGCGCGCGTCCCCGCGTCCCCGCGTCCCCGCGTCCCCGCGTCCCCGCGTCCCCGCGTCCCGGCGCTGGCCGCCCGCCCGCCGGCTTCCAGCATTCGCACGGGGACGTCGCCTGAGCGGTGGGCGCGGGGACTTGCTCAAGCCCTCCTCTTAAAGTGGCTGAGCGACAGCTCGGTTCGCCACTGCCCACCCGGGTGCGGGAGCCCAGAATGCACACCCCCGTCCCTAAGGCTCGGCCCCTCAGTAGCTCCCGCACTTCTGATGAACGCATGTCCCCCCAAACCGATGCGACCACACTGTCCAAGCAGCCATTGTTCCTAGACTCAGTTTCCCCTCCAGACGGCCTTGTCACATAGCCCCATGGTGATCTTTGTAAAAGTACAAATCAGACCATATCACTCTCCATCATGCTTGGAACAAAATGAAAACTGCTCTGGCCTGCGAAATTTACACAGTCTGACCCCTGCCTTCTCCTCTGTGTGTCTTCACCATTTTCCCACGCTTCAAGACACTTGGGTCTTCTTTTGTCCCCTCCTTTGGGTCCTTCTGGCCCTTGCTCCTACTCTTCTGTGCTAGGGAATGCCCTTCTGTCTGAAGCTCAGAATGCAGGGCTTGTTGCACTTACCACTTTTAATGTCACTTCCCTAGGACAATACCTAATCTAAAGTCACCCTCTAGTCACTTTCGTACCATGATTTATTTCTTCACTGCACCTTTCATTCTCTTACAGTCTCTTGTTTATTTATGCATTTATTACAATGTGGCATTATATTTATTATGTTGCCTCCCACTTGCTTTGTTCGATGCTGCCTCTTACACTTAACAATATGCAGCGTATCTGTCCTCAGATAGTTGTTGGATGAATATTTAACACTAAACACCAACTAGGCCAGTATTTCCGCAGTCGCACAGCTCATAAGGACACAGGAACAGGAACAAACACCGTGGGGGTGAATAGTGACTTTTGTTTGCATAAGATGCTATGGAAGTATCAACAGGAGGTATAAAACTGGTGCCGGAAAAAATTTCAGCCTCAGCTGAATCTAGAAGGCAGGTTAATTTTAGCCAGGCAAAGGGCAGAGGAAGAGGGGGCACTTCCAGGAAGAGTGAAGCATTCTTGTCACAGCCAAAGGTTGCACTGGAGGAACTACACAGGTGGTTGGCTGCAGTTGAGTGGTGAAAGATGAAGTGTGAGAAGAGGGCAGAGGCCAAATCATAAATAGTTTGGGACTGCTTGGGACGTTAGGTTTCATCCTGTGGGTGGCGGAGAGCAAATGAATAATAAACCAATGACATACAATTTCCGTTTTGGAAGCTTTCTGTGGCTGGCAGGGTGGCAGATGGATTGAAACAGGTCAAGAAGCAGAAGCTGGGAGACCTGTCAGACAACTACAGAAACAGCCCAGGCAGGGCAGAGAGAGTGAGGGACTGATCTGAGACAGTGTGGTGGAAGAAGTGAGGAGGAAGTGATGGAAGATTTGTAGCCAATTTTGGTAACTGAGAAGATGTGGGAGAAGGGGAGGGATGAGTCCCAGGATCCTTTGCAGGACCATTTATTGAGATGGATGCCACAGGAGAAGGGGACAGGGTGGATGTGGGAGATGAAATACTTTTGGACATAAGTTTGAAATTCTTGTGGAGCATTGAGTGTAAACATGTGTGTTGATGGCTATGTGTGTTGATCAAAAGCTTAGAGGCACAGGGAAGGCAGAACTGAGGTCAATCCTGGACTCTTTTTCATACTTTCTGGCTGCCAAAGACAAAACCAGGTTCCCTTTTGTAAAATGGTCGATGGGCTAGATGACTTCATTGCTAATATTCTCTTCTGGCATATTTATTCCTGTGGTCCTTTGCCTAGCGAGTCTCTAATGTAGCTCCTGAGCTGATGAAATTCTCTGATTTTATGCCTGCATTTTTGTTCTCCTTGGTTGAAAAACTTGTGCTTGTCTGTGTTATGGGTAGTTGCTTGTGTGATCTCTCTTTATCTTGTGTAGATTTTCCTTCTTTCTTTTTTTTTTTTTTTTTTGCAGTACTGGGGTTTGAACTCAGGGCCCACAGCTTGAGCCTCTCTACCAGCCCTTTTCTGTGTTGGGTTTTTTCAAGATAAGGTTTCCTGAACTATTTGCCCAGCTGGCTTCAAACCGTTATCCTCCTGATCTTTGCCTCCTGAGTAGCTAGGATTACAGGTGCCCCACTTGTGTAGGTTTTCATAGAAAAAACATGGGCAGTCACGTTTCTACACTCGCAAGTATAGAAATGTCTGTAATTAGAATTGCACATATATAGCCAAATGATTTTCAAGAAAGTTGCCAAGGGAGAATGAAAGAAAGAAGGAAGGAAGGAAGGAAGGAAAGAAGGAAGGAAGAAAGAAAAGAAAACTTGAGGTTTCTACATTTCATTTCTTGGTGTTTACGCAAGAGAAATGAAAGTTTATGTCTGAATAAAGACTTGGACATGATGGTATAAAGCTGCTTTATTTGGTTTTTTTTTTTTTTGGTGGTTGTTTTTTGTTTTGGGTGTGGGGTTTGAACTCAGGGCCTCACACTAGGTAGGCAGACACTCTACCACTTGAATCACTCCACCGGCCCCGGAAGCTGCTTTATTTGTAATTGTCCAAAACTATAAACAACTTGCTGGTTTGGATGTGGTTAGTCCTCCAAGGGACATGTGTTTGTTGGAAGCTTTCTCCTCAGTGTGGTAGTGTTGAGGTGGTGGGACCTTTAAACCAGGGCAGCCTATAGGCAATCACAGGGTCATGGGGGGCCTGCCCTTGAAGGAAATTAAGGTCATTCTTGTGGCATCCTTGGGTTAATTTCCCCCAGAAGATTGTCATAACAGAACAAGTGTGTCAACTTTCCAGTCTTGCTGGCTTCCTTTCTGGTGATGTAATCTCTTCCTTGCACATGTAATTCCACCTTTGTGCCATCTGCCATGGGATCCTCATCAGAGTTTAGCTGATTCCAGTACCAGACTTTTGAACCTCCAAAACTGTGAACTAAATAAATTTCTCTTCTTTATAAAGTTACCTTACCTTGGGTATTTCATTATAATAATGGAAAACTGACTAATACACAATCCAAATGTCCACCAACCATTGAATGAAAATGTAGTATATACATACAAGGACTACTACTCAGTAATGCAGAGGAATTAAGCATTGATGTACATCACAAGTAGATTAGTCTCAAAATCATTACTTTGAGTAAAGGAAACCAGACACACACAAAAAAGAGCATTTTCTATATGATTTCATTTATGTAAAACTGGAAGATCCAATGTTATCTACAGTCATCAAAAGCAAATAAATGTTTTCCTAAGGATGGTTGTGGAAGGAGGGATGGGATTCCAGGGTATATAACAAAATGCAAGAAGATGACAGAAATAGAAAAATTTGGTATCTTGCAGAGGTGATGTTTATGTGCTTACATAAAACCTCATCAAGTTGTAGGCTTTAAATATGTACAGTTTATTGTCAGCTAAATATACCTCAATAAAGCTATAAAAAATAAAACAATAAATGACAATGAAAAAGATCCTTTGCCCAGACCTCATCACCATATCTATCTATCTATCTATCTTTTTTAAGAGCTAAGGTCTTTCTCAGTCTGGCCTCAAAATCCTGAGCTCAAGAGCTACTCCTGCCTCAGCCTCCAGAGTAGCTGACCAGGTGCGTGCCACTGTGCCTGGTTTTCGTTGTATGTTGAAAGCGAGATAATTCTGTGCGTTCAGAGTAGGGAAGTACTGGTGTTGAAAAACTTGTTACCAAATTCAACGAATTTCTAGGACTTTTCAGCCAAAGAGTTGGAACATATCTCATTTTTTTCTCTCTCTCTTCCCTACAAGTAGGGGAAAGTAGCTCACCTGTCTTCTTTTCTGCTTTATATATAATGTGATGTTTCAATACATATATGCATGTAGAACGATCAGACTAGGGTAATGAACACATCCACAACTCTAATATTTATCATTTCGTTGGGTTGAGAACATTTAAAATCCACTCTTTTAGCTATTTAAAAATATATAACACATTTTAATTAATTGTAGTCACTAGGCTGTAATATAGCACAGAACTTATTCCTCCTGTCTAAGTGAAACTGTACTCTTGAAACAACATCTTCTCTCCCTCTTTCCTTATTCATCCCACACCCCCATGCTCTGGTAACCATTTTTCTTTTTCTTTTTTCTTTTCTTTTTTTTTTTTGCTGTACTGGAGATTAAAGTTCAGGGTCTTGCAAATGCTCTACCATTTGAGCCATGCCCCAAGCCCTTTTGCTTTTAGTTTGCTTTTCATGGTGGGTCTTGCACTACCTTTGTTTAGTCTGGGCTGGATTGGAACCTGGATTCTACAGCTGGGATTATAGGAATATACCACCACACCCAATCCAGTATTTGTCTTTCTATGTCTGGCTTTTTCACTTACATAATGTGCTCTAGGTTCATCCATGCTGTCATAAATGACCAAATTTCCTCCCTTATGAAGGGTGAATTTGCTGGGCACAGATGGCTCACACCTGTAATCCTAGCTATTCAGGAGGCAGAGATCAGGAAGATCAAGGTTTGAAGCCAGCAAAGGCAAAAATAGTTTGTGAGATCATAGCTCTAAAAAAGAAACACCACAAAAAAAGGGCTGATGGAGTGGCTTAAGATGTAGGCCCTGAGTTCAAATTCCAATACCAAAATAAATAACTAAAGGGTGAATTGGTTTCCATTGTGTATATATATGGTAGTTTAAAATATATTCTTCATTTATAGGCACTTTGTGAACACTGCTGTGGTTAACATGGGAAGGCAGATGTCTCTGACATACTGAGTTCAGTTCCTTTGGGTACGTGTCCACAGTGAGATTGCTGGGCCCCCAATTTTCAACAGCAATTGTGTTGCTGGGGTTGGATGCATGGGTCTGTGTCAGTCTCTGCACACAACCATTATGGGACCACGTGCT